TTGAGTGCAGGTAAAACTGGAACAGTGAAGAAACACATATTTCTCAATCTCAAATTACTTGTATGTAGCCTCCTCCAGCCCTGTTGTAGGTGCTACATTCAACTTAATGTGGATTTTTGTTGACTTTGTTGATAGTTGCCACCTGCAAAATGCTATTAATTATGCAAAGAGTAAAGATATAAAAATTAAGAATCAAAATTAATGTTTTGTAAATGGTTACCAGTTCGATCCATAGACTTCCATTCAAGTTCCAAAGAAAAGTATACGTACATGTAGTAGTACAGGTACATGTATAATAAGTCTACTGCAAGAAATTTTTATTTTTTATTGCCATGTTATTTATACCATGCATGCATGTGCAATCATAATTGCAGAGAAAAAAATATTTAATATTAATATTTAATATTGATAGCCTAGGGTTATAACTTATGAGAACACAGTCATCCTGAGCCCTCCAATTGCTCCACAGTTTGAAACATAAGGATTTTAATTACCTACAACCTGTAATTGCTTTTATTATACTTGTCCCAAGGGCATCTGTTTGTAAACATCACTAAATCATTGTGGTATGCAACTTACTGTAAGCAACTATAACAAAGGAAGGTCAATGTCGAAATGACAACAAAAACAGTTCCAATTTGTGTTAGGGACTGTAAGTTGTAACAAAATCCTATGATAGCAATAGTGTTCAACTTCAAAACTGCAAAAAATGTACAGTTGTATATTTTAACCAGAGCATCCGTTTGGAAATCTAACTGTAGTTAATGTTTGAATTCAATTTCAATTTATTATAAAAAAAGCAACCTACTGAAGTGCAAGGTAGGTGTAGGTCTGAATTGTATTGAATTTTTATGTTTACCAATTTGAAAGGAACACATATTGTTTTTGCTACGTTTTGTCTTCTTCTCCAAACAGTGACCTCTGACCTGACTGAACCAGACTGTCTCTCACCATGGTAACTGGTGTTGGGTTAAATAATGTTGCAATTTTATAGTAGGAGGGATTTGGACTCCTATCACCATATATGTGAATGTGTTTGGGAAAGAATTAACAGAGCAGACCATATGCAAAGCAAACATTATGCAGTTGCTTTGCAAATGTTACTTTTCTAGTTACTTTTGATTCTACAACATATTGTAGGATAGGCAAGCTGAGTTAATTGCTAGTGTGCATAAGAACGTCAGTTGTGAGTGGCAAGCCTAACAACTTATCTGTATCAGATTCTGTATCTGTATCTGTATAGCCGGTATAATCGCCATTTGGCATAACACACCAGCTTCGCAGTCACGCAGTGCGGCAGCAGCTAGCAACATTACACCGATTGACTTGTTACACCTAACCCTTGAACTTCTAACTCTAGGCATTGTTTAAAGCTATCTATTGACAGTGCCCCTATTGTACTTGGTGACAGCGAGTTCTACTCTGCGATAGTTCTAGATTAAAGAATGAATTCTTGAACATCTCAATCCTTCTGAGGGAATGACTGTGAAGTTGAACAAAGGTTGACATAAGTTACAGACCATTTCTATCGATTTCCATGGATAATCAAGTGCTAACGGCGTGCACAAAACTGCTAATGATCAAATGCCGGTGACCTCACCTCACCCCAATTAGTCTGCTGCAAAAGAAGTAATCAGCCGAGCAACATTAATTACTAGTGTAGCACCTCTGGATACATTTTAGAACTTTCTTGAATTAAAAAAAAAAATCCTGTTCCACTCTGTGCAGAGCATAGGGGTGGTGCCCATCTCCATTTCTGTAGACCATGGGCCACACAATTGTGTAATAACTACAGCAGGGGGCTAGCCCGCTGGTAGTGGTGTGTGTTTGACCTTCCCATACTCTTTCTCATAGATGTTGAGAGCTAAGCAAAGAAAGCAGTATGTACCAAGTCTTTGGTATTCTTGAATTAGACTTGGTAATTTAGAAATGGCAGGAAAGTCACCAGAACATTGTTCAATTGGTTTTCTTTGGTTTTTATTTTAATGCCCACGATCAAGATAATGATCATTCTAGCATACTCATTTTCACCTGAGCAAAGTGAGGAAAGTTGTGTGAAGTGCCTTTCCCAAGGGCACAAAGTTGGTGACATGTAGGATTCGAACCTGGGACCTCTTGGTTCTGACCTCTTGTTGTGTGGAATTCACTGAGGGCAGTCATCAAAATAATTTTTATAACATACAATGAGGAAAGATAATTGTCCACAAAAAAGACTCTTATAGTATCATCTTGATGAAAAATTACTGACATCTACGTTGTATGTTAGGAAATGACGAATCATTCGATATCTAGAATGATGACTGATCTATATTGCATGAGGAAACGGCAATTACGATGACTTGGACCCAATCTTCCATCCAATCCCACATACGCTGGATTGCTCTGACCTAAATAAGGAAATTTGACGTCGCCATAAATTGGTCCAAATCTATGGCAGTGCTGTTGACAATGACGGATTTTTGTATGGATTTTTGAAGTGTGGCTGAAAAAGTGTGCAGAGAATGTAAATGGCATACTATTTATGGGTCTTTCTACTTTATCAACTTTTCTACAAAGATGGAAAAGTTTTCTACATAGTTAGCTATGTTACACAGAACGACTTGTCCAACACCAAGCCGTTTCACATCTAAATCTAAACTTTGTTTAAAGCTTATAGCTAGCTATCTAATGATAATGCCCCTACTGTACTTGGTGACAGCGAGTTCCCCTCTACAATAGTTCTAGGAAACACAAGTTTTTGAACACCTTGAAAACTGTGAAACCTGCAAGCTAGAAAGGGCACGCATCGTGCTCGGCAAGCCGTGACTGACTGACAGCATCGCCTTTCATAATCCCCCAGCTTGATACGACAGGGTTCGCGAGAGGTCAGAGAACAGATTCTGTATCTGTCTGTATCTGTATAGCCGGTATAACCGCCCTTCGGTGTAACACACCAGCTTCTGTATCTGTATAGCCGGTATAACCACCCTTCGGTGTAACACGCCAGCTTCTGTATCTGTATAGCCGGTATAACCGCCCTTCGGCATAACACACCAGCTTCTGTATCTGTATAGCCGGTATAACCACCCTAAAAACCCCAAAAGTAAACCACTGCAAAAGTTTCAAGGCATACACATGATACAGTGTGATGACTGTGAAATCTGCACGCTACGTTGTGCTCAGCAAAGTGTGACTGACTGACAGCATCGCCTTTCATAATCCCCCAGCTTCATACGACAGGGTTCGCGAGAGGTCAGAGAACAGATTGGAGCAACAGGCATGTCACCATTCCTGTCTTTCTCAGTTTTGGCAAGATGATTGGAAAACCGTTTTCCCGATGATCGCCGGAGAAAGGTCAATCGGGGGGCAAGAAAGCGGGGTGAGAAATGGGTCAGTTGACGAATTACGAGCTACTTTCTGTCAAGAGCAATGGTTTTGAAGGGTTGGCAGGGCTTGAAATTCATTTTTGGGAATAGGTGCACTGGTGCACCCAACCTAAAATATCAGGTGCACAAAAAATTTTTTGGGCGCACCATATAAAACAAAGACCAATCTTTCAGATCTTACTGCTCCTCTTCTGACCTTGAATCTGAAATGGGGGCTAACTTACAACAAAGATTTTTTTTTCTGACACTTGTATTCCAAGAATATCCTGCACTATTTCTTTGATATGTACAAAAATACGTACAAAAATATTTTGGTGCACTGGTGCACCCACAGAAAATAACTGGGTGCACAGCTCCAAATTTGGGTGCACTAAGGTACACATGCACCCAGTATTTCGAGCCCTGGTTGGTTTCAGGGGGAGGATGTGACATTTCAACTACGAGAAAACGAAATAGGCCTGGGATGAAGTGGGATTTTGTTAACACATCATGGTATGCTGATTTGTGTCTATTGCTTCAGATTTATGCGCTGAGAAAGGTTATCTTTCCCAACCAGAGAGCATTAAGTGTTTAAGGTACACGGGATTTGCAATTTGGGGATTTTGAGCCCACGGTTACAATTATCTTTATGTTGTTATTAAACAAGTTAAGCTCTTACTAAACAAGGTTCAAGAGGATATTAGGATATCCTTTTCACAACCAGTAAAGTTGCTTACGTTTTGGTGTCTATCGGACATCTTCCTCAAAGCTCTGAGGAAGGTGTCTGATAGACACCGAAATGTAAGCATTAGGTAAGATACATCACTGGTTGTGAAAAAGGAAATCACAATAACCTATATTTTACCAACCTGATGCAACTATTTTCAGAGGGTTGAGAGGTTTTGAAAAATTCATTGTACCAGTCGGGCTAGTACATGGTCATTTCAAAGTTAAGCCCTATGTAAAAACAATGTAAACTAGAAAGGTAACATTTGCAAAGCAAAATGTATAATGTTTACCTCCACATGGTGTAGTGAAAATGATTACTACTCTGTAAAGTCTGTTTATTCTCACTCAAACAAATTCACACATAAGGTGATAGTCCAACTGTCTTAAAACTCGCAACATAATGTAACCCAACACCACAGGTTGTCTGCTACAGCACCAGTTACCATGGTGACACTTCTGGTCCAAGTCATTGACCTTGTGGAATGGGAGAAGAAGAAACAGAGCAAAAACAACATGTTTTCCAAAGGTAAACGTTATCAATTTACAGCAATGGAAATCATATAATCGTTCTTTACCTTGCTGTCACCATGCTTGTTCGGTCTGAGGAAAGGCACTTTATACAACTTTCCTCACTTCACACAGGTGAAAATGAGTATCTAGCTTCGGTTAGGGACATCCCTCGGATAGGACGTTAAATGGGGAGATCTTTGCCTTAACTCACCGGGTAGTCGCCCTTACATTAAAGATCCCACCACACTTATTGAAAAGAGTAGGGGTCCTTCCCGGTGTGAGTGGTTCAAACCATACAGTCTGGTCTTATGCAGCTTGTACTTACATGTACAAAACTGGTGTGTTGCCTGTGAAGGTGGTTTACCGATTATGTGAAACAAACAAACAAACTCACTCACTAACAAAACAACAGTTTACCTTGCTGTCGCCATGCTTGTTCCGTCTGAGGTGAGGCCTGAAGTCGTCGCCCCACCTGACAAAGTAGTAATACGACACCAGTCTGTCCAGCGGTTTTCTTACTATGTTGATGTAGACTGGCTTCTGAGGCAGACCAAACCTGCAGAACAGAACAAAAGGTACAACAAAAATATGTTAGCAACAATAAGTAATCAGAGATGGCAGACTTCACCCCCTTGCCTATAAAACTATCCTTCAAGTTACAAAGACAGTAAGTACCAGCACTGAAGATGTGTTGAGATGTTGTATTGAGTTACTGTATATTGGAAACAAACAAACACATGTAGACAGTTAGAGAAAGACAGGTTAGCCATTGGTCATTATAATGTATGCTGGGCTCCATTGGAAAGGTACTTCTACTAGCTGAATGGGCTACCCAGCCATTTTATGATAAAATAAATAAATGAATAAATATGTGAACCAAAAGGTGCCTCTTAGAGGCAATACTTCTATTCAGTTCTTCTTTCTAAATCGTTAACACTCCTTTATGATCAAAAAGTGTTGACAACAACACAACTTTCAGAACCATTATAACTAACAATAGTTTCAGCACCAAGGAGAGCTCCAATGAAAAATACATGTATTTCAACCTGGGGGTAGAAAATGCTTCGAAACCAAACTTTTTGCCCCTACATTTTTTCTTACATTTTCTATCGTATGTAAAGAGCACGTACAATGTATTGTGTATATGAGTATTCTACATCAGTTTTAGCATCTCATGAAGGTACTGCTTGGGGATACTAGAAAATACTCAAATTCACTGAAACTTGAAATGCCATTCACTCTGTCTCTTGTTTAGATTCTTTGGTACACTGAAAAAGTGAGCTTTTGTGCTTGTCTTAAAAGTTGTTTTGGACAAAACAGACTCAAACTTCAATGCTTTTCATTCCTCCAGAGACAGAGATAGTATAACACAACTGGAAAAGCCTCTCCTCATTCCACCCCTCGTTTCAATCTAATAGCAACAACAAAAAGATTAAAATCAGGTAATCACTTGTTTATGGACCAGACACGATACAGCGAGCGAAATTGCCTTTTAAAGCCGTGGATGGGAGGAACCTCGGCCATCATTTAGAAAAACCTAATTAAGTTGGACTTGGCTGTTCCACTCGCCTGGTTAGTAATAAATGAGGTAATAGATAGAAAAGATGAGGATTAAATGAGCTGGGACAGCTGAGTTGCTTCCTTGGCTGGGGAGTAATGAGACATCAAATATTCATCTGACAGAGATGTCTGCTTTTGTAAATCACTGGAGAGGACATTAATGTTGTAAGCTCAAGTCAGATCCGTGTAATATTGCACCAGCGAGGAGGGCTGTGAACCTAATACCCGTATCAGGCTCACTGTACCATGGAAATTCCCAGTACATGTACATTGTATGTATGTATGTATGTATGTATACAGTACAACGGACAGTGGGCAATGGCAATAATGTCTAGCTTAAGACTGAGTTAAGGTTAAAAGTTTTAGTCCTAATCCCACACCAGGTGGTGAATAGGGTGGTGCCCATCTCCAGTTCAGTACCCCTTGGGCCACACAATAGTGCAATCACTGCAGCAGGGGCTAGTCTACTAGTAGTGGTGTGTGTCTAACTACCATACTGTTTCCCAAATGCTGCTGAGTGCTAAGCAGAGAGTGCAGTACAAGTATCATTTTAAAAGTCATGGTATGACTCGCCCAGGGATCAAACTCATGACCGAATGTAATGTGAACACTGTAACCACTTGGCCATTGCACCAGTATCCCTGAGGCCATTTTAAAAAGCATACAAGGTGGGCAACGAAGCTGTGAATCAAACTCACAAACTCTTGTTCCAGAGACCGGGTCCCTAACCACTAGAGAACACATGCTATGGTGAAGTGAGGGAAGCGACAATCAAAGAACTTCAGCAATTGAAGAATCCATAGTAAAAAAAGTGATGGGCGTCTCTCAATACGTCCAAATCCCAACTTTCCCAATATCCAATCCAGCGAAGGTCTCCTAGGTCATTTATAATTCTATCACATGCATGCCTGTTTAATCAATGGAGGGCATTGTTTATGAATCACTGCTGATGCCAGACAGGGGTTGTTGGATGACGTATAATTAAAGAAGCCTTGAAATGCCCTAGCTCGAAAATTCATGACGCAAATGGCATTACTTGGTGCAATTATGGTGACTCAGACGGCCAGACCAACTAGTTGCAATCTCATCTTCCAAGAAGGGAATAACATTGGACTTATAAATGTCCAATGTGATCTAATATGTTGCCAATTTTTGTGAAGCAATACTGTATGAGCAATGGAATTTTAAGCATTTTTGGACACCATATTCTGTATCTGCATCTGTATCTGTATAGCCGGTATAACTGCCTTTTGGCGTAACACACCAGCTTCGCAGGCACATGGCGCGGCGGCAGCTAGCTATACTACACTGATCGACTTGTTACACAATTGTTACATATTAAAGGATCTACTAGTATCATGACTCTCCAGAGCAAAACCACAAAGAAACATTAAAATCTTTGCGATGATCATGAAAAAAAACAACATACACAGAAAAAATTGCCAGTACATTGCAGTCACAGTGCAACAAGAACAGATCATTAATTAATAGTTTGTACTTATGAACCTGTTTTACCGACAACTCTCCTGTGTCACTGCCGAAAGGTAGTGGATGCTACCTGAAACGTCTGACCATTTCCAAAATCATCATATCCAGTTGCTTGAGTAACTGTTTTGGCGTATCTTATTACCTGGATGTCTAACCGATGACGTACCACGAACAAATCATGCTGACAACATGAACGCTTGCTCTACAAACATTTGACTTGACATGATTTAGAATGGTCATTCCATCCTAATGATTCTGTGCAATGTACCCCGAAGGCATTCCTCTTCTCTCGGATGCACAGATACATTATTGATAACTCTACAAGGGAGAAACATGGGCAGGCAGATGTTAAAAGTGGGGAAGCGTCAGAGGAAAGACACCACCATTCATATTGTGTGCTGTGTAAGGAATTTGTCAGGTGTCTCTTGGCATATTTTGTCTCAAATAGTAGAAGACAAACAGGTTTCTACACATATAGGAACCTGGGCTCACGATGCAACTAAAACCAAAATAGAATATCTCAAAGCTACATGAAATATTTCGAGTTTTTTTTAAATTTTGACTGATTTTGTTTCCGCTTAGCCCACAAAAATGTTGTCCGTGTAATATTGCACTTCTGAATAGGGCTATGAACCTAACAGAATAGAAGATTCCACACCTACATGGAATATTTCGAGTTTTTGTGAATTTTTCACTGATTTTGTTTCCGCTTAGCCTACAAAAATGTCCCAGTGTTTCAAGTGTTTCAGTTTCTTTGAAATATTTTGAGTTTTTGTGAATTTCTCACCGATTGCGTTTCTGCTTAAGTACAGTAGTCTACAAAAATGTTGTCCACAAATGTTTCAGTTCCATTTAAGGTGCACTGCATGAGCCCTAATGTGAACCACAAGCAAGCCCCAAGTGTAGCTCACATTTCATGCCGATATTACGGCTTTATAGAAGCTGGTCATTATACTCCCTCCTCCACTGACCCAGGAATGACCTATACATGGAATAACACTTAATTTGCCCTGCTTACAAAGGTCCTGTCAAATTTGACCCTGCCAAACATTGCTTTTTTCCCAATGGGGACCTTAAACTTTGTTGTTATTTCATGTACCGATAAAGGGCAAAACTAGGTGATGGCATCTCTGCAACCTCCATAAATATATGTATGACCTATATATTAGAAAGGTTTTTTTTTTCAAAACATGTTCCATTTCTTGAACTTTTGCCAGGATAACCAAGAACCAAGATAATTCCAAAACTAATGAAGAACTATTATAATTGTTGTTTTCATCATTTACAAGCTTATCTTCAAATGTTAGGCTTATCTTTAAAAGTTATCTTGATATAGATCTAAATGTTTCATAGTGTATTCATGTTGTGGAAGTCTTGAATTATAATCTACTGTTTGTTGTAATATTTGTTTTTTACTCTTGAGATGATACATGTAATTGAGAAGAATGTTTGACAGGAACTTGCGCAAAACATGGTGTCATCTTTCAAGGGATGAACTGAACTTTCCCCACCATTGAAAGAACGCCAAAAAACAGTTACCAAAATCATATCCAGTTGCTTCAGTAACTGTTTTGGCATATCTTAGTACCTGGATGTCTAACCTTCACCAACACACAGAAAGAATGGCTTCCTCTTGGCAAGCTACAAGTGGACAGCAGCCAAGAATAGTGCACAATGAGATATTCTTCCCTCCAGCTCATGGCCTTAAAGGACCCCCTTAACAAATGTTGCGCTGGAACAAAAGCCTTCGGCAAGCTTCCTTGTTAAGTTTGATACATTGAGTTTGCAAATCAAGTTTAAAAAAGGCATTCATAATGGTACTGTAAGTTTTGATTAGATGCTGGCAGCTTTTTGAAGTTCTTGGTTTTTGGGACTCTTGCCATGAACACAAAAAATATGTTCTAGGTTCCACATTTACATGGTACTGCTAGTACCATAGTGGGGTGTATGTATTTTTTGGTGACTGTTTGTGTGTGTGTTTGCTTGTGTTCCTATAGTTATGTCCACATGCTAGGCACATTGGAAATACAGGAAATTAGGACAAAGGTCCAAAGAAAGGTCCCACAGAGTGTCTCTCCTTGGTGCTGAAACTATAGTTACTTTTATTGGTGCTGTCTTCCCACATGTGGGGTCATGTGGTGTAACGGTAGTGTTGCCCACAGAACCAAGAGGTCCCAGGTTCGAACCCTGCCATGCAACCGATCTGGTGCTCTTGGGAAAGGCACTTTACAGGAATTTCCTCACTTTACTCAGGTGAAAATTATGTCTGTTGTTTGTTCAGACATTTGTCTCAATTTGGTGGCAGCATAAAAATAATTTGAAAAAACTTGAGAGTGCCTTGGCCATGTGTTGTAATAAATGTTGGAATTAATGTTCTCTCCTTGGTGCTGAAACTGTTGTTAGGCCACACCGATTTAATTTTATGGATGACATCCGCGCGCGCATTGATTTTCGCCCGATCTACAAAAAAAAAAAAAAGATCACGTATTCCGAGGCTCTGGCCTGTTT